CTGAATGTTGCCTCTTAAGTCATAAAAAGAAACACTCAGCCTCTTTGTGAAGACAGGCCCTGTAGTGGGAGTAGTGGAGTCATATGAGTGTAACAGAGAGTAAAATTTCACCTCCACAGAGCGAATGGGGCCAATCAGACACCATTTCTACATGAACTCCTATTTCCTCACCCACCTATGCCACAAAGCAAAGGAAAGAGCAGAACATTTCTTCCTGTCCTTCAAGCACCCTGGCTTTGCTGTCCACATGGCAATGCACCCACAGAAGCCTGGCAGTGACTGCAGTCCCCATTCTGAAGCCCTGCCCCTGGGCCAGGTGGCCTGGACAATGTGTCCTGCAGCTTCATCAGCAGAGCAGCTGAAGTGGGACATCAGCAGCATAGAACAAAGGGATGGAAAGTAACAGTCTGGGAGGCACCAATGAAACCCGTTTCCCGGCAGGGAACATGAGGAGACTGACCCCAGAGCAAAAATGGAGAACTCCCTCTAAATATTGAAAGAAAGGGACAGCAATTAAGGCACAGGATTCAGAAGGAGGAAAAGAGGTAGATTGCAAGATTTAAAGCCTCATTTCAAATTATTTCAGAAACCAGACTAAAGGCAACTTTAAAGCAGACTGAATTTTTAACATCGGGACGTGTATAGTATCAATATTTCTAAAAGCAAAGAAGTAAAAATATAAAGTGAATTTGATCATCTTCGAAAGTAAAATTCAATAGCCTTTATCAATCTGGAGGGTGGGGGGAGAAGAAAGGGAAAAGAGGGTGAAATCAGCTTTTCCAGAGTTCCCTTCAAGCTCAGTTCACACTCATCTTGAATTTTCTGAAGTTCAGAGTTATGATCCCAATGTGAACATAGACAACAGAAAAATGTCGCATAAAACATTACAACTTCCACTGTAAGACAGTAGAGAGTAATCAGTACCCAATTCTCTCTCTTCTGACTACATTCTTATGAAAGCACACAAGTCTACACAAAATGACAACCTCACATAGCTGCTTCAGAAGTCAGCCAGATTTGGGGAAGAAATGCTGGTAACAAGGGGGCACGTGGAACCACCCAGAGCAATCACCAGTAGCTGATGTCAAATTTTACCTTTGAAACAGAGCAGGTCAAAGGAGAAAAAAAGAGAGAGGCTTTGATCTTCCTCCCACGGTCTACCTTTCTTTAAGTAGAGAGGCTGCCCAACCAGAAAATCAGGTGGACGCTCCCACACAGGAAGGACCTGCTTCCTGAGGCTGGCTGGGTGCCCCTGGCTCACTCATCCTCCTGAGATTAGACCTCTATTGTATCATAAAGTGACACTAAAGGAATGGAAGGAAAATCAGTCATTGCACCCTGGGACGTGAAGGGGATAGGCAGATATGGGGAGAACCCCAGGCCCCCAGTCCTCCCTTGATTTCGGGTAACTTGGTCACACACCATTCCCAGCAGCAGCGGAAGTCCAGGTTCATTAGCATCACCCATGGATAGATGTAGTTTCTGACGGCCATGAGAGCAAGACATGGGAGCAAGAGGCAGCTTTGAGGTCCAGTATTTAAAAACTCAAATAACATAGACACAGACAACAGCATGGTGATTACCAGAGAAAAAGGGGTATGAGAGGAGGTAGAAGAAGGTATAGGGGTGATAAACAGTGATGGAAGGAGACTTGACTTTGGATGGTGAACACACAATACAATACACAGATGATGTATTACAGAATTGTACACCTGAAACCTACATAATTTTATTAACCAATATTACCCCAATAAATTCAATAATAAATACTTCAATGAGTAAATTTTGTTACCTGTATTTACATTTTAAAAGCTCAAATTAGTAAGTTTTACATTATATGTATTTTATCACAATGTTTTCAATTCAAATTTTTAAAAAGCAGACACCTGTTTAAGGGCTATATGGTTCATCCTCTCATGTGGTTTATTCTTGAAGAAGGGAAATTTCTTCCTAGTGGAGACACAAGAAGTTCTAAAGTGTCCTATCACAGGGCAGAAGGCCAGAGTGAGTATTCCACATCTCTCTCTCTCTCTCTCATCAATAAACATATCCTCGGGTGAGGATTAAAAGGAATAATAATAAAAAGAAGGCCCCCCAAATCATAAAACTTATAAAAAAGATTCTATAACTTAAGGTGCAAATATTGTTTTTAAGATATGAAGAAAAATGCTACTTTTGAAAAGTATGTACCATAAGAAACAGAAGGAAGCCCTGGCTGGTGTGGCTCAGTGGCTGAGTGCTGCCCTGGGAACCAAAGGGACGCTGGTTCAATTCCCAGTCTAGGGCACATGCCTGGGCTGCAACCCCAGTCCCCTGGGTTGCAGGCCAAGTGCCCCATGCAAAAGGCAACCACACATTGATGTTTCCCTCTCTTCTCTCCACCTTCCCCTCTCTAAAAAATAAATAAATAAAATATTTTTAAAGTCTGTATCTTTAAAGAAAAGAGAAAAGAAACAAAAAAACACCCTTTAGAAAGCATTTGCTTCACATCCTCAAGAAAGTATGAAGAAGTGGAAGGTGGGATTTAAAAGAGTACTTAGATGCTAAGCTGTAAACTGATGTGATAAGGTGCAGCCTAAAAAGAATAAAAATAAACTATAAAAAAAAATGTAATAGATTTACTGTTTTAGATAGGGCAAAATAGTTGACACTACAGAAAAATAATTCAATAATGTAGAGGACAAACTTGAGAAGCCATTCCAGAAGGCAGAGGAAAAGGATAAACTAAGAAATGATCAGTAGATGAGTGAATAAAACAATTGTGGGACATTTACACAATGGAATACTACTTGGCTGTAAAAAAGAAGATAATTTTACCATTTGCAACAGTATAGCTAGATCTGGAGAGCATTATGCTAAGTGAAATAAGCCAGTCAGAGAAAGACAAATGCCATATGATTTCACTCATATGTGGAATGTAATGAACAAACTGAACTAACAAACAAAATAGAGACAGACTCACAGAGAGCAGGATGACAGCTACTATTGGAGGGTGCTGGTTGGGGGGGGGGGGGGTGAAAGGATTGAACCAAAAGAAAAAAAGACTCATGAACATGGACAACAGTGTGGTGACTATAGGAGGAGGGGGTGTAAGGGGTTAAATTGCAATGAAAAATACAATAAAAAATTTTAAGCAATTATAATTTATTTATACAACCAAGTAGTATAGATTAAATTTTGCACCCCTGCTAGATAAATAGTCAAAATCATATATGATAAGAAATATAAAATATGTCAAAAGACCAGTTTTAAAAAACATAACAGAATGATATAAATGTTTAAAACTTAATAAAATGGACCATATTCAGGAAAAATAATATGAATTACCTCTATTAGCTCAATAAGTTTGCCAAGAAGAATAGAAATATGCCAAAAGAAGCTGAAAAATCATCAAAGAATTACCTCGAAAAAGGCCTAGGACCAGATAATTTAATTAGTACATTCTCTCAAAGTTTCCCCAAGGGGAAACCCCAGAAAGTGTAACAAACGGTACCCAGACTTGGAAAAAGATAGAATGCTCCCAATTCATTGGAGAGCTAGGCCACCTATAGTACACAACCCTGCGTAAAATAAAAGCATAGGCCACCATCTTTCTCAAAAGCTTTGTTACTCCAGGATTTCCTAGTGCCTTTAATATGCTGGGAAATTCCAGTGGGAGGCTTGTGGGAGGCAGTGTTGTTCCCCACTATAAGACTTCTTCCAGGCTCCCCAGACCCTTCTTATGACCAAGCAGGAGCCACATGGGGCCATTGAATCATTCAATCAGAAGATTAAGATGACCTGAGAGCCAAGAATATATGGAAGAATACATAGAAGGAAAGAGATTCACAAAATATAAATAGAAGAAAAGAAGAGGAAAGGGAAAATACACTGCAATATACAAAATTGCAATCATAGCAATGCTGAAGCATGAAGCACATTCTGCTGGTGAAATGTAATTTGATTCAACTCTTCTAGGAAGCACTTGGCCATGTGGATTTAGAATCGAATACACTCACTTTTTGATCAAATAATCCAACTTCTAACAGTCCATCCTGGAGAGGTGATCTAATATGAAGATTTACATACAAGAATGTACTTGACAGAATTATTAATAGCAAACCAAGCAAAATGAAAACAAAACAGGAAGCCATCCAAATATCTAAAACTGGAAATGGTTAAGTGGATTATGGCACATTCACATGACAAATATGCAACAATCAAAAGCAATGATTTAGGAAAAAATAAATGATGTGTGTGTTTAATTGTTTAGGATAAAAGGTAGAATACAAACTACAGAGTATAATCTTAAGTATATTTTTAAATACATATATATATATATATATATATATATATATATATATATATATATATATATATAGGAAAAACTATTGGAAGAATATAGACCAAATACTTAATGTCTCTGGGTGGTGGAACTCTGGGTAAATATTGTATTTACACATTTCTCACATTATCTAGCTTTTGCACCAAGCATGTATTACTTTCATAATCAGAAAATGATAAAAAAAAAGAATTATTGCACGTGGATAAAATACTCATGTGAGTGAAAGAGCAATTTAAGTCTCCATTCACTGAGGACAAATACATTCTCACCCCAATGACTCTTACACAGGTGTCCGTGAAAGCATGAAGGCAGAAGGCAAACCAACCAAATCCCCCAATAAAGACAAGCTGAGCTGCTTCTCCCAGAGGTTTTCATTAGCAAGAGGGGAATTGAACACCCATTTTTTAAAGTGCAGCTGCTTTCGGATATCCCTTGGTTCCAGGAACCAAAGGAACAGCCTTTACAGGGAAGATTCAGGGAGTGAGGAGTTACACGCTCAAGTGTGCACACACATCCTTTCTTTTCTTCTCTCCCTTTCTCTTTCTTAACAAAACACACACACACACACACACACACACACACACACACACACCCCTCTCAATCCTGTCATCCTAGCCAGACAACTAAAAGCGCGACCTACTGATGCAGCCGCGCCCCATCCCCACACCGCAGATACCTGTTTGTGGCGCGCGTCAGCTGGGTCTCCGAGCTCTTGGGCGTCCTCAGCGCTGCGGGGGTGCCGTGGGTGACCTCCCTGCTTTCCGTGGGCCTGCACAGCCAGGAAAAAAACTAAGTTATTAACACCTCGCGGGGAGCAGTAGACTGGCAGGCTGGGTACCGCGCTCGCTGCCTGGCCGGGACTTCCCTGCGCTCCCTGGCTCCCGCGGGTGGGGCGCGGCGTCGGGGGTGGGGGGCTCTGGAGTCCCGGTGTCTGAAGAAGCTCAGGGCGGGAAGGAAAGAAAAACTCGCACTGGCATGAACAGCCCCCAGGAAGCTGATGCAGAACCCGACGGCAGGACCTTCCCTCGCGCAGAACGAAGCACGCTGGGGCCCTCACAACACAGACCCATCCCTTTCCACCCCAGGCGGTGCCCAAGCGGTCCAAGTGTCGCCCCTCTGGTATCACCCCCGCCCCCCCAACACACACTCAGCCAGCCCTGCCTCCTGGACTCCCCCATCCCACCCCACCCTCCAGCCACTGCTGCCCCTTGGCTGATCCTCGCATCAGCCAAAAGTGTGCGCTGCCCAAGTCAAGCGGATCGGAGGCTGGGGCCCCGGGAGCGCACAGCAGGGCGCACAGCGGGGTGCTCGGAGGGGTGCGCGGAACCCGCGGTCCCCGGAGAGCTGCCAGTGGGTTACCTGGGGCGAGCAGGCGAGTCGGTTGAGCCCGAGAGCAGGCGCAGCAGCAGCAGCAAGCTGGCGAGCAAGGCAAGCAGCGCGCCCCCCGGCCGCATCCTGAGCCACGGGCGCGGCCGCCGCCGCCGCCGGTGCCCCGGCGACACACAGCGCAGGCGGCCGCGACTCGCGGCTCTTGCCGCGGCCGCCGCAGCCACGCACACCTCCAGTGTTCCCGGGCGGCGGGATAGGAGACGACAGCGCTCAGCGCGGCGGCACTCTTGGGCGCCCCCGGCCCAGCCTGCACCGTCTTTGGGGGCCAACGAAGACGCCGCGTCCCGGCTCTCCCACTTCTCCCCACGGCCCTAGACCGCCCAGCTCAGCGCTCGGGTTACTGTGACGATTCGCCAAGCTCGCTTCCTCGCCTCCCGGAGGCGCTCGGAGCAGCTGCCCGCTTTAGTCGCCGCGGCTGCCGCTGCCTCTGCCGCTGCCGCCACCGCCGCCGCCGCGCAGGGTCACCTGAAGGTTGGGGCGCAGGAGCTCGACTCCGTGCTGATTGGGCTCTAACTTTTCTGTGCCCTCACGTGCTCCTGAGTGCCCGCGTGCTTTTCACTGAATCCCACGCAACCCATCCATGCGCACCAACTCCGTCTGCGTCCCTGCGGTTGACAGGGCTTACAGGGGCGGAAGACCGGGGAAAAAGGGCCCACTTTAAAAACTTTGAAAACTAGGTAGTCGCTCTGCTGGATCGTCCCACGCGTGAAGACTGCCAAGAACTTGGCAATTGTTGGATAGGTGCCGGCGCCAAATAGGAGTAACCTCCCCTGTCTTAAACGCAGAATCAAAGGCACAGAGAGAGAATCGATTTCTAGGGCCAGGCAATCTTTAGCAGACCTCAAACTACTGCCCGAGGCCTGCATCCCGCCCCTGCCTGTTTGTGTAGTTTTATTGGAACACCTTCCTGACCACTCCTTTGTATCATCAATGGCTGCATGTGACCGTATTACCTACGGCAGGTTTTATGTGTGGTACGAGGGCACAGTTGAGTAGTGTGAGAAAGTTAACAAATTTTTACTAGCTGTCCCTTTTTGGAAAAAAATTGCCAGACCCCTGATTTCATCTGCTTTAGCATCTCGTATATTAATTATCTCATTTATTGCAAGAGAGTGATCCGATGACAATGATATAACCTGGCTACCCAGTTATTTTGTGGGGAGCGGGCCTCTCCTCTTTCAGCCCCATGTATACATATCCTATCTACATGTGTAGCCCACAGGCTTCCCAAGCACCCACCCCCTTTGTCACTGCCCCAGGTTTTGCCCCTAACTCTGGGCCCTTGAGGAACACCAATAAGCCCTAAACCCCCTTACATTTACGTGAGGGCTCATTAAACTTTCAGTCTACTTTCGTACAGCTTTTAAGAATTTTCAGAAACAACCTTTGGACTCTACCATCTTGTAAGTACTTTGATAAAGGTAGTTTGAAAGGCTTTAATGAGTTAACTTTTCTGAGCAACAAAAACATTCATATTTTAACTGGAGTCTCCTAGGGGCGTAAGGTCTTCAGCTACAAGACCAGTGTGAGAGCGTTTTGGGAACAAGTAGACCAGACAGCTCAATAAAGCTGCTGCCAGCAATTTTTGCCATCAAAGTTCTCTTTTTGCTAATTCTGCATTTGTTCTAATTAAGAATATTTATTGGAAAATATACCAGAACTGTGCACATAGTAATTGATCAATACGTATTTGGTCAGTGAATAAAACACCTTTGAAGTGAACAACAACAACAACAAAGAAAACACCTCAGAACTAATGCTATTCTTAAAGAAAAAGGAGCAAAAGCTGAAAATAACTGTGACTGGAAATAGCTCACTATTGCTGTTGAAATATACACAAATCAATAAAGAAAATGTTGCTACTTTTATGGTAAGACCAGTGTTTTTAGGGATCCAGCTGCTTATCTGAGTACGGTATAATAAAGTCGTGCTGTATTCAGTGCTAAAATAGTAAAGTAATCCAATTGTACATGTTTGAAAGTTTAAGCATTCTGTTAGATAAGTAGGATAGAGCCCAATTATCTTGAAAATAAAAAGTCTGGATGTGGAAGACAGTCTGAATGAAAAAGTTGTCTGGATTGGGAAGATAGTCTCAGTTTTATTTCTGTTAGAGCAGAAAGGAATTGTGCAGACAACTCACACTGAAGATGGCTTGCAGAAACATAAGAGGGCATTATTGTATCAACCAGGAAGTGGCAATTTTACCTACATTACTAAAGTTTAATATTTCAGCACAGTTGGGCTCACAGCAACAACAGGAGAGCCAGCCTTGCACTAGGCTCCCTAAACACTCTTGCTGAAAATGAAGTAACGTTTTATCAAGCCAATGGCTATCAGCAGGGGACTCACAAAAGCCCACTTTAATTGGAAAATCAAGTGTAAATTTGCAATGGGAATTCTGAACTGAGTGCTAAAATTTGACAGTAAGTAACTTTACCACAAGCTTTGAAATTGAAGACTTGGGTTGGTAAAATATGAATTATTTTGCTTATCCTTGAGAGATGAAAGAACTTGACAAAAACACATTTCCTAAGTATTATCAGCCATTGAACCAACACTGGAAAGATGTACACTTGGTAACTTAACATTTGCAGGTTCACCAGCACCACAAAGATCTATGCCATGTAGTAATCTGAGATATTACCAAGGCTTAGAATAGACCCAGAGACCTGGGCTGATGTACAGAAGCCCCAGTGAGTGTATAAACCTGCCGTACTTACCCACTCTGCCCAGCATTTGCCTCTCATTTTTCCTATAGTATCAGGAATTCCCTCAGTTTTATAAAATAACTTTTCATCATCAAGAATGGCCTTAGTTTTATAACATAACTTTTTTAAAAGATTTTATTTATTTATTTTTAGAGAGGGAAGGAAGGGAGAGAGAGAGAGAGAGAGAAACATCAATGTGCGGTTGCTGGGGGTTATGGCCTGCAACCCAGGCATGTACCCTGGCTGGGAATCAAACCTGCAACACTTTGGTTTGCAGCCTGTGCTCAATCCACTGAGCTACACCAGCCAGGGTAACATAACTTTTTAGAAAATGACTGGGAGGGTTTGATATATACAAAATGTCCGAGTAATTAAAAATCTTCCTGGAAGTTGGGTTTCTTATTTTTGGTGTAAGGGTTTAAATACTTCCATATTCATGGATTTGGGGATTCATGAAAAAGAATCAAGTGTCTACTATACCTGTGGTTTTCACCCGCAGGGACTCTCAGTACAGGGAAAGGAAGGAGTGCTACAAGAAACACAAAAAATTGATGCACCGAAGAGTCTTTTCCTTCATTTGGGTGACATTTTTATCTCCCTGTCTAGAAAGAATGGTTTCTGATGTCTTCAGCTGTTTGATTGGTTTTAGCGATATTAGAGATTTGTGAGGACTGCAGGACAATAGCACATTTATAAATATTAATTATTTCTTGGGAGAGAGAATTCATAAGGATAGTATAACCAAGGCTACATATTTTCAATAAGTCATAGGATATAAATAAAAGTAGAAATAACTTCAAGAAATCAATAACCTTCTATGGGGGTATGTTTTCAAATATGTTTTATTCAAATTAGCTTTTGCCTATTGCTAACTAAATATAAAAAATGGAAGCAATTTAGTGTATCAAGTAGTTTTAATTTTAAAGATAGAATATCTAGGCAGACATATAAATTCTATACAGGCCTTATGTATATAAGAAATCTAAATTGTAGAATAACTAAAATTAAAAAAAAAGAATCAGTATTCTGATAATAAAATAGATCTTTAATGTATAAAACGTTCAAACTTCTGAAACTCCTCTCCCTGAAGTCACTTAAAAGATCATTAAGGGCCCTTTAGGTGGCTCAGTTAGTTGAGTATTGTCCATAAACTGAAAGGTCATGGGTTCAATACCTGATCAGGGTACATACCTAAGTTGCAGGTTCAGTCCTGGTTAGGGCACTTATATGAGACAACCAATCAATGTTCTCCTTCCTTCCCCCTCTCTCTAAAGTCAATAAACATATCCTTGGGTGAGGATTTTAAAAAATCACAAAGGACCAAAAACAGAAGTAGAAACTATTTATCCTGAAACTACAGAATGGCCAAAACCCCATTCCACAAACTACAAAAATGCCTGGTAAAGGTAAACCGACTGGAGAAGAATATCGTGTTCAAAGCATATCTCCCAGTTTGTGACCTTAGATTTTGGGAGGAAAAATGAAAAAGTTTTTGAAGACCCTACTAATCCTCGATTTGGAAGAGCCAAGGTTGGAAGTAGGTCACAGCAAAAATGAGCAGCAATCAGTGTGTGCCGCCAGGGCTACCGAGACGAAGGAGAGATGGTGACCACTGTCTCTGTCTTCAGTGAATCCAGCTTTCCAGCCAGAGGAATGATGACCTAGAGACAGTGCTGTTACAGGAGAGACTCACAGACACTGGGTTCTTCTCATTGGTGCAGTAAAGAATTACAAGACAGCAAGCCTATTAGCATGTATACTAAGTTTGTTAGTGCTAAGTTCTAATGGAAAAGCAAAAGCAAGAGTGACCTAGTGGCCAGGGTGCTCCCCACCATGTGGCATAAAGAGCCAAGAAGGCCAAGAGAGTGGGTCCTTTGTTCTGAGGACTTATATAGTTGGTGGGGCGGGTGTAAAGAAGTTACATTTTGATTGGCAGGTAAAGATGGTGCCAGCTTCCCCTGGGGAGACGGGACTACCCAAACATAAGTATGTGTGGGGGTGTGTTAGCCCAAATCATTATCTTGCTCCAGACTTTATTTGTTCATTTTGCATACATGACGGGAGGCAGGCTGTTAACCAAAACTGTTTATGGGCCCTTTCTTTGGGCACTGTACACCCCTCCTTTTCCCCCTTCCAGGCTTTGGGATGAACACACAGTCTCAAGATTTTCCTTTCCCTAGCTAGTGGAGATGATACACACAGACTTCCAAGGCCTTCCCTGTCCTACACTATGATAGTTTCACTTGTTGTTCAGAACACCTGGCAGCCTTATTGGACCAGGCTCAGGACTACTGACTTAACATGTGAGTTTTTGCTTCTAGTCTCCTGTATTAAGTTCTTTGTTAGATTCCAAGTGTGCCTTTATTTCCCCTCTGGCCGCTCATTCCACCATAACAGATACACATCACATGGTACTAGGTGCTCTTTTTTAAGCATAAATATTCAATATTAAAAACATTTAAGGATATAATGGAAGAAAACTTTCCTGAAATAAAGAAATATGTGCATTTGTGGGCTTTTGCTTTCTCATTGTCTGATCACATTAGGTGAACTCATAGTGTTTCAGAGAAATTTAATAGGAAACGCTAACTTCACGATTTATCTTCTTGAAGAGATCATTCAAAGACAAAAATATCCTGAAAGCATCCAGACAGGAGAAATAAGTCATAATTAATCCTACTTCTAAATTCACTTCAGCAATATTAGACTAA